TACTACTATATTTTCCATTTGCATGGCACTTTTTGGTATAATTTGTTTTTGTCATCATTTTTTTCCCTGGATTAAGCACCTCCGATACCAACTGGTTAACCCGCTAAATAGGTAAATAGTGAATTATTAGTAAAGACACTAATATTAACGCTGATTCTAAACATTTGATCTTCCTATCAGTAAGTAACTAAGATATGAATATTTTGTATATGACATGTATCATTGTTATACAGAAACGCATCAATACGTTCGCACATCTTGTCAACGGCCTCTCTGCAGAAGGCACTAGGAAGCCCAAGTCCAGGAACAAATAAAAAAAAGGATTCAAAGCGTAGGAGTTCACGGAAAAGTGACTCTTCTACCTCAACCAAAAATGATCAACCAACGAGTCAATGGTACACCACACCGGAAGTCTCGCAATGTATATCAAGTCCTATTACACCATTAATATCCAGTTTTCCTACAACACCAATATTCGAACTTCGTCAAGAGGTACAAGCGTTCCATTATTTACAGTAATAACAAAGTTGGGTCATGTTTACCTCTACATGATAAAGTAATGTGTTATAGTAGCTAAAATAGAAATTCTTTTTTTCTGCAGCTAACACCAAAACGTCCTTTGAGATCGGAAATCGAAAAAGAGAGGAGAATAAGCAATCGGTTGTCTGGCCAATCTCAACATTACTTAAGGAATATAAACAACGGCACGGATTCGAGTAGTTTAGGAAAAGGAAATAGGGACAGTATTGGCACAACAGATAGCACGGCGTCCGAGGACGATCCACCGCCACCTTTGCCTGTAAAAACACGCGAAGCCGATTATTGTAATCTTCCGGACGAATTACCTGCTTCCCATTGCGGAACAGGTAGCTTGAATAACTTGAACAGACCTCTAGGGCATTGGTCAAAAAACAAACTTCCAACACCAACAGATGATCTTGACGTTCAGACGAAACCGCCTACACCACCACCGAAACCAAAAAGACCGCCTTACAGTTTAAATAAGCTCATGCTTTCTACCGGTGATGCAGATAATTTTAGTCGAGATCCGTCCGTAACTTGACATAATTTCTTTTCATGATCATTTTTCTTGCCAGTATACTGAGTCTAATAATAATATTTATAGGAATCTTTTATCCCGAACAATATTTAGAACGAGCTTGAACATATTTTGTGTTCAACAGTGTCGATGCGGTTTAGAATATTACATATTCTAAATATAACCTTAACATATAATGGAAAAGGATTTACAATCCTTTTAATTGATAAAGACTTCAAAATTGAACGCAGTAAAAATTACACGTTAATTTGATTAGGAATAATATAAAATCTATTTTACAATATTTTTATGACATCAGTATATCGGAATACCTGAGAGATAATAGATCTATTCTATACTTGTTCTGTGGTTTCACAGTGGATGAGTAGAAAGTTACCATTTATACTTCTTGTCTGTACCTTTGCCTCCTGTATAAATACGAAAGCGTTTACTAATATCGCCAGTAACTAACAAATTATATAAGATTATTAATGTTCTTTATATATAAATATTAGTTGAGCTTTGCCTTTATTCCATCCAATTTAAGGAACTTCCGAACAAATTATGTACATCACTAATAGAATCGTGACAAAAATATGCGATTGTTTATGGAAGCACATTTTTCCATTTATATAATTTAATAATTGTACAAACATATCTACAGAAACGAAAACAAGATGTCCTCCTTACATTTGAATGTTAAATTACATAGTGCACGTATTTAAAAAATCAATGTCATCAATATGAAAATTTGTTCATTCATAAAAGACTTCATCCTTCGTAAGATATATATATATATATAAATTATGCATAACACAATGATTAGAGGCTAATATTACCATTTTTACTGCGTATTTTTATAAATTTTTATATTAGGCATTTATACTATCTTCCGCACAGTAACACCATTTTAGAACGAATTTTACTGTTACTGTTGTTAGTATTTTCTACTGTTTTACTATATCGATATGAAAAATT